CTTGCAAGCTGAACAATCCTTGGGCAATTTCCTAATTTTCAGTAAAAGATGATTAATCTTAGCACTTGTGGGATTTTTTTTCCCTGTTTGTGCTACTAATTGAAGAAATCAGACACACCCCTAAGTCTTTCAGGAATCAAAAGTCACTGCTTCTTCATTTGCTGTAGTCTATGACAACAGCAGACAAATCACTTTGCAGCCAGCCAGGCCAGTGTCTTTATTTGCAACTGCTCAGTGGATCTAAATTTTTAACAGATATTCCGTTTCCAGGATAGTCCTGGAAAGTAGAGGAAAATCCATGAGGACACCCTGGAGAGGAGCTGCAATGAAATCTCTGCTAAAGGCCAGCCATTCTACTGCAGCTGCTTGAGGTCAGTGAGACACAAGAGGTTTTGAAGCAGCAGCTGAACATCAATCACCACCTCAGTCATCCTCCACCACAAATACAGCTTTCTGCATATCCCCAAGTCTGTTTTCCAGTTTGAAAGGGATTCCAGCCATACAGAGGCGGCCAACTTGTAAGAAAACACTAAATTACTAATAATACTAAAAAAAACCAGTATCACACCATCCTCTCAAACCTCCTGTTCCCATCTCTTTGCAAACATACCTTTCCTCCCTCCAACTCTGTATTTGTTTTCTGTCCACTACATAGCTAAAGTGGTAGTTAGGACACATTTTGCCTGGCTGACATCTTAATAAATGCTCTAAGACTGCTGCTAGGTGACAACCACCATGTAAGCTTATGCAAACTGATTATGGGGAAAGAAATAACTAGGTGAACACTTTTTATAGCCAAAAAGATAATGCTACAGCCACCAGCTTACATGCTTTGAGGCTATGGTCCCAAGAAGAAATGCAGAAAATTTATCTTTTGCATCTTCTGTGACTGTTCTCCTCTCCCTGCTTTTTACACATGACTTGGGTTATTTTCCTGCAAATATTTTACTATCATATGTAGGACTTGCATTAAAAAAAAAATCAAAACAAACACACAAGATAATTTATATTGAAATGAGAACAGAGAAGAGAATCAAAATAAAAATATTCCCAAAATAAATACATGGATTGTTTAGACTAGAACATGTGCTTGGTTGCCGTTTGTTTCAGCCTTGTTTGTGCTTGTTTAACACATTTTCAGATCTGCTTACTCTAAGGCATAGTCCAACACAAATGTGGAAATGAAAGGAGAAAAAGGCATATAGGAACTGCAATAATTTGAAAATGACCAGATTTGATGTTGTAAGTGCTAAAAAACCAGCACAGCTAATTAGCTGTTTGTCAATGCCAGCAGTCAATCAAGTCTCAGGTATGCCGTGCCAGCTGGGAGTGGGACCAACACCGGCTCCACAGAAAGCACACAGGGAGGCAGGAGAGCCTGGCTCCCTGGACACCTGGCTCCAGATGCCCTGGTTCCAGCTCTCAGCCCTGCTGTGTGCCAAGGCCCGTGTGCTCACAGCCTTTGGGCAAATGCTGCTGGTTGCCAGTTCCTGCCTTGCACCTCATGGAATACAAAGCTGGGGCAAGGGGATGATCTCAGCAATGAACTGAACCAAAATGTACCCTTTTCCCTCCACACACCTTACCAATCACTCTTAAATAATAATAAAAGGATGTTTTTATATGTCTTGAATCCAAATCCAAATAACTCACGAAGATTACAGAATAGTTTACTGACACACAGATGGGAAATTCCTGGGCGCCTCTCTTCTAGCATAAAACAAACAGATAAAAGAGAAACACTAATAGAATTCCTGCTAAATTAGTTCTGCTTTTAATAACTGAAAGCTTCAGTTTTCAATACAAAGTAACAACAAACCTAAAGAGTTTAGTAACACAGAACTACCTATTGCAGAGTGATCACTAACTCCACACAAGCCTCTTCTACGTCCTCAAATTGCACTGGCATTCAATTTCTATATAATAAGACTTGCATTCTTTTCTTAGAGATACCATGGTGCTGTGTCAAAGACTGAAGGATGTTCTGAAAGGCTTGTCAGTAATTAAGCAGATTGGGAAGCACTCTCCCTCCAGTATTTTCAAACAGACTTCTTGTGTCAACAGGCCAACTTCCCTACCAGACTTTCACCCCCAGCCCCGAATTCCCAAGTTCAGCATTACAGACTACCCCCACCCTATCTGTCAGCATGAAAATCTGTGTCAGCAGAATAATTTTATCTGCTAAACTTGTTTACCAAGGGCTGTCACATCCTGGACTGCTTTCCATAATCTTAAAACAGCTGAAGAGCAGTCTCAGAGTCCTCCATGAAACATTACAAACATCTCACTACACACACAGGCAACAAGACTTAAGACCGATTAAAAAAATTATGTGTTAGTCTTTATTAGTGCAACACACATCCACTAATGCAGAGGAAAACAGAACTAACTACACAGCCACCCATCCAGATGGGATTGTTCTGTGGGATGCTGAGTGCCCAAACACTGCACCTTCACTGATCCACTGCAGGCTATGGAGGCTTTGCAGGACTGTCTGTTCTTCAGCCTCACATCTCCAACCCTGAACAATCCAACTGTTTCTCTGCTCTCTCTGATTAGACAGAAAGAGGTAACCTATACATCTGTCCTTTTGTTTTACCTCTAGTCTTCAAAAACTCCTACCACTTCCCACAAGAACCTAAGAAGCATCTTACAATAAGGCCAGCTAAGGGAATTTCAAAGTCTACTACTGATTTTAGGGGGTGAATTTCCCATGATTTTGCTTTTTTGGATGTCACACTCTCTTTGCAATGGTTCATTGGTTTTAAGTAACAAAATATTCACTGCTAGTATGCTTGGATCAAAACATCCTGAGCGCAAATGCTGGCACACCTCCATTCAAGTGTACAAGTGAAATGACTTCTTACATAGAAAAAATGGCAACACAAGGTTTCAGAACATAAATTTACCTCCAGCTAACCACTGCACGGAAATTAGGGATTCCACAGTTAGCTAAGTGGGGGAAAATAATGTTTTTGTTGAACTATAAGCTAGCATGGATATTATCAGAAAAAAATTACTTATTTCTGTAAGAAATAGCAGGGACTGAAAAAAGGACATATATTGGAAGCTTCTGTTGTTAAGGACTAAGCAGAACAGCAATCCTGTCGTGTTCATAGAGCTGCCATTCAGTGACACCTTTATAAAAGGAATGAAATGCGTACGGGAGGACTGAAATCTAAAGAAATGGTCTGTATATCCCACATTCTGGGTCTTCTAAAGAGTACTGCACAATCAAACATTCACACCACCTTGATATAGCCTAGGATTTTAATTGCAGTGTGAGCATTTCTTCTGCTAGGGAGGACAAAACAAAAAAACCCAGGAAGAGTAATTCCTTGCAAATTTGCAATTACGTTTCTTTTCTTTGCCTAAATCCAGCGCTGATGCAAACCACCTGGTTCAGGCACAGCTGTTACACTGGCATGCTCAGCTATGTACTGGCCAGGAACAGTCAGACATCCAAGGATTTCTTCTTGCTTTACCTACTTTATTAAGCATCAAACCTGTCAGGAAGTTAACGCTGTCACATTCCTGTAGTTACTGAGTGCTGCAAAGACATGAACACTACACGACCTTCCAGCCCACTCGGACAGCAGTGCCTTGCCAGTGAGCTCAACACCTTGCTCATTCCTGGGGGTAGGGAAGATGCCACAAAACTTGAGAGCACTGTGGTAAAAAGATTTTCCACCCATCTCCCTGTGTTCCCAAGCCTTTCATCACTAACAAGAGTTTCATGCATTCCATCATCTCACTGCAATGCAGACACAAGTACATTTCCCCCAGCTTCAGAAAGATGACTGGTTCTAGTAATTCTCAACCAGTGTCTCCCTCAAGTGAGCAATAATGCTTCAAATGCAGATGGAATGTACAAATCAATCCCTAAGTATCTGGAAGATTATTTTTCTGCCTGATAGTCAAAAATCACAATACAAATCCTAAATACACTAAGAAATGGTCTAACTTAACCTCATCCATATCAAAGCAAAATTATCAGCTGTATTTCACTTCCTGACATAAACAATATTTGCAGTAAGTGCGAATACTTCAGAAGTCATTTCAGCTTTAGCAATTTTTATAATACTAAAAATACAAACATCACTTTCTAAAAATTTATCACAGTCAGAAACAAAGTCTTCCTCCATATTTATCCCATTCCTTTAGTTTGACTGGGATTTTGAGAACAAATGCAGACACTGCTGACTGGGATCCCACTGAAATATTATGCCTTTTTGAAAAAGTGAACAGCTCAATCTAAAAGATCTTTACGTTCCAAAGCCAAGTTAAATAGACAGGTATGTGCAAGAAGTATTTCTTTTTATTCTCCTTTCTTCCACAGATTTTTTTATAAAGTGTCTGTCAAGTGATGTAGCTTTTCCCTGCTGCTCTCTGGCTTCTACGCCCTACTGATAACAGTTCAAACAAGAGAGGTTTCTGATTACCACTTCAACTAATCAAGGAGAGGGAACAACTTCTTCACCAGACCTGGGAGACAAGGGCATACTCTGTAATGAGGGAGATTGCAGCTGAACACATCTTAAGGGTGTGGACTGCAAGGCATGGAATGTACAGCAAGATTTCCTGAGTATTTTGAGTACTAAAGCAGCTTCAAGTCATAGCTACTGAAATTAGCACAGGTATGAGCAAGCAGATAAGCTCTCCAAGTATGACTTTTTTTCCTAAAAGGATTCTAAATGCAGTTCTTAATCTCTGCAGGTATAAATGGAGCAGACAAACTGCTGTATGCTGGCACTGAATAAAAAAAATGCCAAACCAGGAGAAATGAGATGTAAGAGATCCAGCCCTTATTGTCAGAAGGATTCCAAAAGAGGAACCATTATACAGATGCATCTTCCCCTAAGAAGGAGGAGAATAAAGGACAGATTTCAGATTTCAAGCTCAAGGCTTTAAAACACAACACTGGCTGCTATCAATGATTCAAAAAAAAAATCTCAGGACAGTAAACTTGCTAGGCAAAGAGGAATTTCTAAGCAGCTTACCTCAATGGACCATAATTCAACATTATAAAGACCAGTATCACCATCACACACAGCGTCCTTCTCTTTGGAGATGATACTTTGAGCTTCTGGTTCTAGACAGAGAAAACAGAAGACACTGAGTAGAAGAGGGGCACACATATGCAGGCGTATGTCAGAAGCCAAGTACACCAAATTATACTTGATTTTTAGATTTATACTTGTGTGAATACATTCCTGAACTACTTAAAAACAAAACTTTGGTTTATACACTATGATCAGCTTCTATCCAGTGAAATATTCAGAAACACCATGAAGTAAAGAATGAAAATCTACCAGATAATGTGTCAGCTATCCTGACCTAGAGTTGGTGAAAGTCATGCTTGGACTGGGATGCTGGGCTAGAAACCCTCAAAGGTCTCACAGTCAATATTTCCCCAACTCTGTTGTAACACCTTCCACCTGAACAACTGTTTTCATATAAAATCAGACTTTCATCACTGTCTCTTACCTCTAATACCACTTCATCCAGCTGCCTCTTCAGCGTGCTGTTTTCTTTCTTGAGTTTCTCATTCTCCAGCAGGGCTGCCTCCAGCCTGGCCTCCAGTCCCAACATGTATTCCTTCTTTTTCTTGCGTGACTGAAAGGCTGACTCACGGTTTTTAATCATGCGCTGCTGCCGCCTCAAGACATTGACCTGAACACACAATACACAGGCTGTTAACAATCCACAAATTAAAACTGCCTACATTCCACACAGAATTTCTGCTTCTCTGCTCTGTCAAAGGTCTGTACACATAGCTTCCCATACTCTGCTTCAAATGAGCTGGAATGGTCAGCACAGACGCACCTCAGTATCTTGGTACACCTAAGGAAAAAACAGGTCTTGAACTGTCTCAGTTTTCTTCTGTATTCTCAACATTCTATATGCAGGGGTCATCAAACATATACTCAAGTTTGATTTGATCAATCAAATCTCAAAGACAGAAAATACCTATCTTCAGGTCTGCAAGGCAACAAGAACATCTTTCACCTTGACTTCTCCCTGCACCCCTTTACAGGCTACAATCAGTCATCTGCTTTCCTAACAGAAAATTTCTAGGGTTTTTCAGTCTGCTCTGTACGGAAGTAATTTCCACACTGATTACACCTGCTTCTGTACCTTTTCCACCTATGCTACACAGTTTTTGAGATTTTGAATAGTGTTGCTGATCTCAGACTGCACATTCTATGTGTATCAAGCACTTACACGACAGTTTAAATGCAGTCTCTGGGTGCATCTACACCAACATCTTAATTCAGATCGGGAATGTGGCTTGGGTTCACATTTCCTGACTGTCCCACTAAAAGTGCTTTGCTTCACATCACACAACAGTCTCTGAGAGCACACAAACCGGATTCCTTCAGGATGAAGCTCAACCAGCAAACGTATTCCAGGAGAGCACACAATCCATTCTAACCACTAGCAGGCATTCAGTCTGCAAGACCAGACTGAGACAGCTCAAAGCAACCCCTCCACATCTTCCAACAGTCCTGACGACTGATTTTTTTTTTCCCAAGCAAGAACACTCCATCATCTTCTACCACTTACTCATTTTGTGGTTTGCACTGAGTGGGATGACCCAGACCGAAAGCATCTTGCTGCCAACAAGGATAACAATGATGAATACTGCAAAACTATACAAAACTACTTGAAATCCTAAGTTCAGACACTAGGTTGTTGATTTCCTCTCCCTCACAGATTAGCAACTCCGTTTTCATTAGGAACAGAAGACTTCCATCACATTTTTAAGCTGCAACTGGATGTGCCTCAATGATAATTACACTGACAGATAACTGAATGATCCATCTTACGCAGACCTGAATATTCTTCAGTACCTACCAGCACAGGCCCCGGTGTAATCTGTGTCTCTCAGAGCAGGAACATTAAAGAAAAAAGATGAAAGAAAAAAGATGAGAACTATTCCAGAAGTATTATTCTAGGGAAATAGTATAATCACAAAACAGTAACATTAAGTAACTCAGATTTTGAGTCCGGCTATGTCAAAAACCTTAACCACAGCTTTTCAAGTCTCTCCTTGCATCTACCTGCACACAGACAATATGTTGTTCTAGGGCACTGGCATCTTCAACAAAAGTGGCCACAAGCTGTTTGAAGACACCATTCTTCATGATGCTGCAGTTTGGTGACAAAGATGAAGAAAATGTGTTACAGTGCATTAAAGTTCTGGGTTGCCTCCATGTTGGTCTAACTGTTTTTTATGAAGATCATTTATTATACGTCTAGTCTGCTTTCACCAACCAAGTCTGTGAAAGTGAAGTTGTTTGTACTTACTCCAGTTTCTCTCTTTAGCAGGGAGTGGAGAAGGAAAAGATTTTAACATATTTTCATTAACACTAAGCTTTGTCTTGAATTTTTTAAGTACAACATTTAACACAAAAAAACTTCTGCAGACATATAAAAACTGGACCAAAAAAAAGATTCAGGCTAGCCAAGAACTGCAGTGTACAGAACACACCAGTCTGGGGCCAGGATCACTTAAACTGTTCAGAGATGAAAAAACAAGGCATGAGTTCATGCAGCAGCTTTGGCTCAAGTTGTGTGCTATTCCAAACAAGGAGTTATATTCCCCTTTTTAAAAAGACGTTCTGCATCATGAACTCAGAAAAGACCAAACTGTTTACATCCATTCTTGTTTGCAGACCTGCTCAGGATTATTCATTACTGGACAGCTTTTAATTATATGTCTGGAACCTCTGGCAAATCTACATGCTTCCCTGAAGAAAATAAGGTGTTAGAGCACCAGCGCAGTGCCTCTACACTAAGAATACATCCTAACGTGCATCTGTCACTGTTTCAGACACTGCCATCTACATTTTATGTGTTACTTATCCAGATTGCTCTACTTTACTCACAGTTATCCAAATGCTGTGAGGAACAGCAGCTCTCCCCTAACCCTGATTCCAGGTACTCTGTGCAGTACCTGCACTTCAGTATATGCCAACTACATTTTGACTAATTTTTAAACCTTGCTTAAATGAAATCCAGTATTTGTGTCCTTAAGTTATTTTGTTTTAATTTACAATTCTTAAACAGTTTAAGGTCCTCCTTGGGCAGCCCTCCAGGTCTTGCCTGGCTTTTCTCAAGGAATATGCCACAACTGCACACCCAATCCCACCTAAATGTGATGCAGGAAATGGAAAGAGCTGTGTGAGCGAAGTGGTACAGGAAGGCTGAACCTGGAAGCAGTATGGTAACCAGCATTACACAGCTGGCCTAGCACCAAGGTAAACATGCCCCCTGCCCGAGCACTTTGATACTCAGGAGTGAAAGGAACTAATTTATAATGTCAGTCTGCTTCAGCAAACTGCATTTGCTTTGCACAAATGCTGAACCAAGATTAAAGGTAGCAAACACCTCTGCTAACTTCTTTTACAGCCTGCAACTTTTAAAGTTCCTCTCAAGATAACAACTCCTAGGTCTAAGGAAACACAGACCGTAGAGGGAGAACACTGGCCTTAAAAACAATCAGTAATCAGTGATGCAACTTCGGCTTTCTAGCTCTGAAAAGCATATCACCACTAGCAGAGACACACACAAAAACGCTGTAAATATGGAGAACTGGCAGGTTCATTGCAAACCCTTGCTTCAAACAGCACTAACCAGATTCAGATTGTCCTCTGTCTTCAGAGGTTTTCCAGAGCCATGCACTTTACAAATAAACACTGCTACCTCAATTTACTTCCAAAGAAAACTCAATTATGAGCAAAATTTAACCTCCCTTCCAACACAAGCTGTACTTCTAGAAGCAAGAATGTCTCCCATACTCCAAAGAGTTTTTGTACATGTGCTGGGAAAGTTAACAAAGAGCTGGAAGTATAAACCATTCAACGTAGCATTAGCTGGCTTCTTACCTCACCTTATGAAAGCTGTCTTTGAAGATGCATCTTTGATTGCAGGAATACAAGACATATGCAAGGTGGTTTTGTTCTAATGGAAGTTCTGGGTTTTCTTGTCTCTAACTCAACAGAACACAACTTGCTCAATGAGTTTGTTACATAATATTACACAATGCACAGCACAGAAATGAGGATTCTTCAAACTGAAATCCACACTTATGCTGAAGTTATTTTGCATAATTAAACTTTTTTAGATTTTCTGTATTCTGGCACTTCCTCATGGCTGGCAGGCAGCACGTGTGCCACCAGGGCCTCACACCTACAGCTTGCCATCAGCCCATCCCAGTGTAATCCACTGGCAGTTTGAATGTTAAACTAACAGTTTATCCCACCTAAGCCCAAAAGAAAGTACTGCAGTGTTTCTTTTCATACTGCAACATTTGCTCAGATTAGCAAACAATCACAAGTGTTACAGAGCTCAAACAACAGCTCAATCTGTGCAGCCCTGAATTCCGCACACGGTGTCCAAGGCAATCAGGAGATGTTTTAACCCTGCTGGCCCCAGCTGAATCCCAAAACATTTGTTTCTTCTCAAAGCGCTTTTTCACAGTATGTGCCAAAGAGCAGCTGCAATTTTTTTTTTCACGTTGTAACCAACACAGGTAAGATGTGCAGCATTTCACAAGTCTTAAAACTGCTTCCCTAAAATGGCTTTGGGTGGAAATACCAACACCTGTTTAGTACCCCAGCTACACACCTGACTCCTGATGTCATGGATATATATATAGAATATGATGACAAGAAGGGGGTTTTGTCATTAAACCTTACATTCAGACAGTGGCAAGATGCCATGCTAGCCCTGCTTACTGGGAGTCACAAATCTATTGACTGCAGGTCATTGATTTGTGGTCCCTTGACTTAACTCTGCATGGCAGGGAATTATCACTAAAAAATGCAGTACACTTAACTGCTCCGCCTACTACAGACCTTTGCTTCCTGCACATTGAATATCAAGTTTCCACTGTACTATGGCTGCTAAACTACTGGTAGCACAATATTTCCATTATAAAACACAGCCCACACACAAATATGATTAGTGAGAAAAAGTTACCATCAAGCCTGAGTGACAGTCCCAGACACCAGGAAATTATACAGCAACATCCCTCCAAAAAAGCTGAAGGAAGAGGCTTCCCACTGCTTTTGGGAAACAGTGACCTGCACTGCTAATAAGCAGGTGCCTATACAGCAAAATTCCACGTGTTTTCACCAGTGTTTTCTCCCTTACACTGAGATGTGATAGGACCCTAAACTCACAACTGTGCTTGGAATACCACACTGGGCAATGACAGAGTTTTGAAGTCATCAACAAGAAGCTTTGGTCCTTTCCACAAGCATGTCTTCTTTGGAAAACAAAATGCAATCAAAGCAGCTCCAAATTACTAGAAGCTACATCAAGTTAACACCCAGCTGGTTAAGATGTCACAGATGAAGGGGAAAAAAAAGTCCACACACATCTCAAAAGCTACTGTTTACACATACTGCTTACTGAGAGCTACTATGGAAAAACTGACTTATTCACACTGTAATTGTTGAGAGCTTAACCCTCTTCTATTCATTCAATAAATTATCAAAAGGGAGCCTGAAGAGCTTAGGATCATATGGAACTCGGTAACTGAAGCTTCTAAAAATCATGAGTAAAATCTGGAGAGATAAATGGGGATTTCAAGAGGCATTGAAATTTCCAATTAATCTGCTTCCAAAGAAACATTTTTATTATATGGATTAGAAAAGTGATTTAGCACTAATCAAAAATCAGATCTATCCAATCTTCCTGTATGTAAGAGAGGTCCAGCCACTGAGAGTTTGCATTTGAGAAGACAAGTTACAGAAAATATCAGTCAGCACTGTCTTCTGCCATTGCACTTGCATACCTGGTCTGCAACTCCAGCAGGCCAGCAGATATTTAGCTGTTCTTCCCTGTTCTGTGCCAAGCTGCTAAATTCCCTGCTCACAGCTGGAAATCCTGTTAAGAGTTTTCCTGAGACTCTGAAGGGACCATTAGGTCCCACATGCAAGTAACTGAAAGAGGTGCACAAGCCTTGGTTGGCAGCTATCACAGAGTCAGAACTTACATCCAGCCCCATGGCTGGGGAGCTGCTTTGGAGCAAGGGCTTTGCCACCGGGATTTTGCCATTGCTGGAGGTGTTCCCAGCAGCTGGAGACAACGCCTTCACCGTGTGGTTCTGAAGTGCTGGGGCCCCTCCAGTGACTGCAATGACTGGTTGGGAGGCAGGAAGCACCCCAGAAGCCTGGAGCTGTACCACAGCAGGCTGGGGCAGCACCACAGATGGACCTGGAACACAAGAACAGCAGCACTCAGCATGGATGAAATGGATTTGTACATGACCACTTCATAGGGGCATACCGCTATCCTCTCCTGCCCTGCACAGCTGATCTCAAATCCATTAGCACATTGCACAGAACAGGATTGGAAAGAAGTTGTTCCAAAGTTTACAGGACTCTTAATCCATCTCGCAAACCAAAACTACAGATATTAAAGGAATCCAATAAACCAAGCCCTGTCTCAAAAGCTCTTCAAAGTTAATAAAATTCAACACTTGTTATATACATTAGTCAGTACTGCTAATACTTGAAGCACTCTCAACAACCTTTTCACAGAATTTAGCCAACTTACCTCAATCCTCCTTTTCCCTTTTGTCCATAAGTACTTTATTGCTGTATTCAATGGAAAACTTACTACACAGAAGTGACTCATGCCACACAGATCAAGTCAAACTAGCAGAGAGATGGAAAATGAACAAAAAAGAACAACGCCTTCAAAACTTACGCTGAAGCTTCAATTCACACTAAGAGCATTTTTCTAGAAAAATGTCTTATGTAAGAAAGTTTATACACAAGCTGAATCGAGCTTAAAGAAAAGCCAGCAGAAAAAATGAGGTAATTTTGACAGAGTTTGAAATGGAATTAAAAACAGTCACTTCCAAGAAATTTCAGTCCAACAACTACATTTAACTCAAGCAGGTGCTTGAGTAACATTTTGTTGTCTGAAAACACATTAATGTCTCTCTAATCCTTTGTAACAGGATGACCTTGCCAGCTTTCAGAAAGAGCACATTCCAGCTGAGCATTCCAACCAAAATGCTCGACAATGGATTACAGCACTTATCCAGCCTTCTGGAAGGTGAAAAGTGAAGTAATTTACCTAGTGCCAAGATCTTACACAGGGGGTAAAACTAGACCTTCTTTTTTTTTTTTTTTTTCCAGACACAATCTCAAAGACATCATAACTTAGTATGAATCTGTTTAAGAATCTTAAATGATGAATTTGAGACTATTTCAATTTTTTTTTTAATGTATAAAAGAGATGATGCTCTAAGACCATGCTTTCTCTTTTAAGCTTTTATAAAAGGCTGTGAAAATAAAATTTCTCATGCTTCTTTGAAGATAACGGCACATTTCAAACCGCTATTTCCAACTTGTCATACGCAGGGGATTTAGACTGATGAGAAAAGATCCTTATGGTTTTTGTTATGGAAGCTCCACAAGAGACATTTTAAACATACCATCAGATAAAGGAAGCATGGACATACTTCCACAAAAGTATTTCCTCTATACTGTCTCACAGAAACTACTGTCCTGACTTTTCTTCGGGCAAAAGGAGAAGCTGCTCTTCAGAATACTAGACTTATATCCAAAGAAATCCATATCCCCAGCATTCCTTATTCCAGATGGTATTTTATCAGCTGGAACATCAGAAGGAATAAGAATTAGGTCACGTTGACAATGCTGACCTGTGTTTTAAGCAGTCTAGCAACCTTAGGCATGTTACAACAAATGTCAGCATCTTCAGATTTGGCTGAACCCCTGATGGAAGAGAAATCAGTAATGGAGATAAATTTTTCCCAACTGCAATAATTTCTAGATATGTGCCCTTAAGAATTTGTCTCCTTTTCCTTGCCTCAGTGTCTGTGAAATCAACTGCAAGGGACTGTGGCCATCAGCTGGTGAAACGAGCAACTGCAGCTGGCAAGGGCTGCAAGGCAAGCAGTGTCACTCCGGTGCCCGCTGGAGAGTGAAACAATGCTTTGGATCCAGAAATGAAAGCTCGAGCTACTTCAAAAATCAGTAACAGGGTAACTGAAGCAATGAAGAATTATCCTGGGGCAGGTAGTCACTTTTCTCTTGTTAACATCAGCAACTTTTCTAACCTTTGACACAGCTCTCAATTTTTTGCAGATTTCACAACATTTAATGCTGTTTAGTGAACTAAAAAGCCATAAACCCATGCTCCCTCCATCCTGTGGAAGTTTCATGTGAGTAAAAAAAATGCTTCTATCACTTCTCCCAAGCTTTCCAGCTTCCTTCAAGCCATGCTAAGTAATTCTACTGGATCTTCCTTCAGTTATGACAGAACAGCACTGTAATCACCTTATGCACCACCTGACATTGCAAGCAAAGCAAAGCATCCCTACAGAGCAAAGCATCCCTATAGATCCTTCCAAATCAGCAGTTTTATCTCAACAGCTGCCAGTGTTCAGCACAGCTGCTGTCTTCCATTCCAAATAATGGAATTATATAATGCAGTCTTCCATTTTACACCATGCCCATGTGAGTGCTGTTTCTCACAGGACAGGACAAGAGGAGTAAGGCCATCTTCTCAACCTAAAGCGTTTCCAGCAATGCATGTAGAACTCTTTTTTCTCCTATTCCTCCTCTTTCACACACCAAACCTAACTCCATTCTGTCAGCCATCCCAAACAGACAATGCTACCAACAAGACCTGGCCCAGTCAAGACACTTCACCTACCTTTAGGAGGTGCTGGCTGGATGTTAACAACTGGCTGATTCTTTGGCAGTGGCACAAGCGTGGGAAGAGTCTGAATAATGATGGTTTTAGCTGGGATGCCAATGTTAGCCTGAGCTTCAGGCACAGCAGGCAAAAGGGGTTTGGGTTGTATCAAAGGCCTGGACACTGTCTGACCACACTTCTTCAGGCTCTTCACAGAATTATTTGCTAGAAAAGGAAAGAGTCAGAACTGGACCAAGAGGCATAAAATACGTAATTCAAGCAATAATGAAGTAGATTTTAATGTGGGTTTTTTAATCTGTCTATAATATTTGTTGAAAATAAACATATCTGATCAAATATCCAAGTCATAAATGATAGGACATCTAGTGTCTGTTAATTAATAGCATTAATTTGGATGCAAGACAACACGCATATTATCTATAGGATAAAAGTAACTTTTTCTCTCGTACCAGATCGAGAAGAGATGCTCACAGCAGGCTTCTTCCCTCCATCTCCTTCAGGGGATGCAGGGCTTCTGCAGCTCTTGCTGTAGAGAGAGATGGGAGACATCTGGGAGCTACAGCTGAAGTCCACTTCATCCTGCAGAGAGAAAGCACAGGAGATTAACACTTCAGAAACCCAGAGCAGTATCTACCAGCAGTTCAGACTATATCTGCTTCTCATCACATCTGTGTTGCTGCTGCAGCCAACAGGAGAAAGGTTTTACTCTGCAATTTGATGCTGGCCAATGCCAAGTACCACTAAAAAAAAAACCCCAACAAGTACTTGTCCCCATCAGCAGAGCAATGGGAGGCATAGACCAACGTGCTAGACCCAGAAACCTTTAGAAGACATTTTGTTTGGCAACAAAGCTAATGAACATAGCTGAGGAAAGAGAGCTGAACATGTTCTTATTTGAATGGGTCACAAAGAGATAAGAAAACACCACTGATGGGTTTTTGCAAGGGTTGGGAAAATAAACTGTTTCCTCTTATGCCATGAATTTGGTCAGAGGAGTAAATCACAGGGCTTTTGTTTTGTCAGAGCTGTTGCTGTGTTACATGGGGGGTTTTGCATACAGGCACATTCTGCACTGGAGAGTCCACAGACGGTGGTGAAGGGACCGAACAGCTGGAAGTGGCTGGTGATAAAGGTTCTGTCTTCACATTCGCATCTGCAAGAGGCAGGTAAAGACATTTCACTGCACAGGTTTGTAGCAATGGGAAAAGTAGAGAACACACTGTCCTACACCAGATATTTAATTCTCAAAGCAAGGCACAGCAGAAAATGTAGGGAGATTTGAGCTATTATACAGCTTGGCTCATAGGGCAGCCCTTGCCAGCTGCACCCATCTCTTACAGAAACACAGCCAAATTCCCATCACAGAGCAAAAGGCTGTAGGACATCAAACAGTTCCACATGAGTTTTAAGAGCTCAGCCTTGTGGGGCAGGAGGGGAAGAGCAACAGCTGCAAAATATAGGAGGTTAATTACCTGCATAAGCATGGCCTGTAATATTCCAAAGGTCCGAGTCCCAAGACATCAAATCCAAATCAAAATGAAAGTTATAGAGATCATTTTCCTGAAATGATAGTTCAGAAAAAAAGACAAGACAAAAAGAAAGATGCTTTGACACCATCAGCCATTATGTTCACATTCTTACAGCTCCAGAAAACTAAACAAACAGCATAACTATCAATCACTTCAGGTGCCTTAAAGGTATGCAGAGATGAAAGTCCTTAAAGGAGAAATTATCAACTGAAACACACAAAACAAGGCTTCTTTTAAACTTACACCAGTAGGAAGGGGCAGGTCAGTTTAAGATCATCACTAATTATTGTACTCTTCTTTGTAATTTGCAAAGCAAAAGTTCTAAGTTCATTGAACCATCTCACAAAAAATACAAGTCTTAGGAACCTGGTGCCAGCCTTTCCTTCATCTGCCTTGAAAAATTTCTTTAATGCTCTTCCACCATTACATCTCAAAGCACTTTACAAACAAAAGCAGCACAGGGACAGTAGCAGGAAAACAGACACAAGATTGATTTGCCCAAGACCTGATTAACGGTATGTGTTAGGTCTCCCTATACTTGAACACAGTGATGTCAACATCTAAAGCCAAGGACATCAGTCTCCTTTTCCAACAAAAATCAAAACAGGCTAAAATCACTCCATACATATTATTTATCATACGACCTTTAAAACAACAACTGGCATTTTTCTCCATTTATCCTGCTTGTGCATCTCTTAAGTCTCAGTTTCCTACACAAATGTGGCCCTTAATGAGCACTTGCATGAAAAATACAAACATGACCTACCCAGCTCACACAAATATACAAAGATTTTCCTGAAAACCATACTGCAATCATACCTTCCCTTATACTCTCAACTTGCCCTGTGAAGGGAGGCTCAAAAAGCCTGCAAAATGCATTGATAATGGTACTTGCAATTAGAATGAAAAGAAAGCTCATCAGAGCACATTTAAAGGAAGAATGACCAAAAAACCACAATGTGAGCTGTGCATTAAGAGCCCTCACCTAAGCAAGTAATGCCGACCTGCTAACGAGGAATACCTTTCCCTTGTACAATCAGTCTGTTCCCACATTTTCTCCAGTGACTGGTTCTACACATGTAGGAATGCTCTTAGGACATGGGGTTTACATGAGATGATAACCCAGGCTTGTGCTGGAGGTGGATTGGGACACAGCGAGCAGAGACACGGCTGGGGAAGAACATGGAGAGGAGAATCCACGAGGTAAATGCCCCGGGAGAGAAAAAGCAGTATGGACAAGTGGGCAGTGAAAACGACCTGGATTAATGCAGAAGGTGGCAAGCAAAGGTTTTTTCGAGAAAATCCTACATTAAAGAAGAAATCAAGAAGTAATTAAATAAGCAAAGGGATAAAGAAGAGCCCGGGTGGATGTAGGTGTAACACACCCACCGTTCTCTCAGGTAGCCCTGAGCCAGCGCTCCCCCAGCACTGCCCTGCGGGGTTCACCTTCCCCGAGGCAGTGACAACGCCACTCCTCCTCGTCGGCGCCTCGCACCCTCACCCCAGCCTCCCTCCCTGGCACACTCCGCTCCGCAGCCGTGCCCCGCAGCGCTTCAGCCATCGGTGTCTCCAGCGCTGACGCGGAGTGCAGGCCGGGCGGCCACGCTCTCCTGCCAGGCTGCTTCGAGGCCCCCCGAGCCGGGCCGGGGCTCTCACCGTCGGCAGAGCGCGGACCCGGCCCCCGCCATCCCCGGTACTCACGTCGGGCTCGTCCTTCGGGGCCGCGGCGCCCAGCAGCTCGCTCAGCTCCTCGCCCAGCACAGCCTCTGCGGAGAGAAAACGGGCTCAGCGCCGGCCCGGCCCAGCCCGGCTCCGCCGGAGAGCTTCGTGCCGGCCCGGCCCGGCCCCGGCCCCCCGAAGCCGCGCTCACCCCAGTCCAGGCCGCCCCCCGGGGCGGGCAGCAGCCCCGCCGGCTCCCACTCGGCCTCGGCCGCCGCCATCGCTTCCCGTTCCTCCCGAAACACACGTCTGCTTCCGGCTGGGCCGGGCCCGCCCGCCACGGCGGCCGCCGGCGGACAATCGGCGGGCGGGCGGAGGCAGCGCGGCCTCGCGGCCTCGCACGGTCACTGTCCGCGCTCCGAGCTCCGCAGAGAATCACAGCTTCAGCTGAGTTGGGAAAGGGCTCTGAGATCAGCGAGTCCAGCCCATGACCCAGCACCACCTTGTCACCCAGACCATGGCACTGAGGGCCGTGTCCAGTCCTTAAACACCTCCAGGGGCGGTGACTCCAGCGGTGCTCCAGGGCAGCCCCTTCCAGTGTCCAGTCACCCTTTCTGTGTAGAAATTCCTGTGAATGTCCAACCTGAACCTCCCCTGGCACAGCTTAAGGCTGTGTCCTCTTGTCCTCTCAAAAATAACCTGGGAGAAGAGGCCAAACCCCCCCTGGTTACGAGGCTAAACAACCCCAGCTCCCTCAGCTGCTCCTCATCAGACTTGTGCTGCAGCTCCTTCACCAGCCTCTCTGGACACACTCCAACACTTCAACATCCTTCCTGAACCGAGGGGCCCCGAACCAGACACAGCGCTCCAGAAGTGGCCTCACCAGTGCCAAGTGCAGGGGAAGAATCACTTCCCTAGTTGTGTTGGCTACATTATTTAATGAAAACTTCCCCCCGCCCCAGGCACACAGGAGGCATTAGTTAGACAAAGGTGTTTATTCAGACCCCGATGATACAAGCTCATTGATGAAAGCATGAGTGGAGTGGCTCTCGGGGAATGTCCCAATTCCCAGGGACAGAATGTCCAAGGGCTGGGTGGCAGGCTGCCCCCAGCACGTGGCTCTTGGCCCCTGGTGGGTCTCCAGCTGCCTGCACTGGAAGCAGCTCCCCTTCCCAGGGGAATGCTGCACACGCAGCATGGTGGCAGTGTCCAGGGGCAGCTCTGGTCCAGGCTACAACCACAGGCATGGAGTCCCTCTGTGCTCCTGCAGCAGCTCCTGCTGGGCCTGCAGCCTTGGGGGACACGGTGGGTTTCAGTCTCAGGCAGGCTGGAAGCACTGGAGAGATGGAGCTGGTGTCACCCACTTCAGTCCCAAGGGGTGTCCCCACCCAGGAGCACCCCAGCCAGGAAGATGGCCACCCAGATGAGTTTTGAACAGGGTGCTGCGAGGCTCTTGCCACCCTCACCTCACAGGTTGGCATCGTATGCTGCATTGGTGAAGGTTCCTGGTGCTCCCAGGTCACTAGAAGGCAAACACAAGGATGTCACCTTGGGGAGTGCACGAGTGTGTGAAGGCCAGGGGTTAGCACAGCCCTGTCAGCCCTAGAGATGCTCCCGTAAAAAACCAGCCTCACACAGGCAGATCTGGGTGTCAGCAGGGTGGACATAGGGCTGTGACAATCACAGGGCAGAGCCACCCTCCTGCACAGCACAGCTCTCACCTTGTGGGTTTCAGGAGCTTCTTCTTCTCCTCTGAAAACAGTGTTGAAATGTCCATTGGGATAAAGCACATAGAAAAGAAATAACCAGATCTGTTTAGTGCAGGTCACAAGAAGCTGCAGCAGCAGCGTCTGAAATTGAGTGGAGTTTAACAGGCATGAGGTGGAGCTGCCTTAACAAGCATTTGCTGCCTTCTTCAGAGTGATGATGTTTATCTGGCTCTGCCCTCTAAACCGGGCTGCTGACATTTTCAGCTGGGCCAACTGCCAAGGACCCAAGCAACTCAGCAAATAAAACATGTAAATGGAGGCAGTCACACTGTTAAACTCTTCTGATCACCTCAGCCTCCCCTGGGACTTTCACCACCTTGCCTGAGAACCCTGGCCAAAGTTAGGGTGGGCTGCAGGAAGCATTTCTGTACCTCTGTCACTGAGCCTCTTCGCAAGAAGGGCAATGAGCCCCCCAGAGAGCACAAGACCAGCTACTGCCAGGGCTGTGCCACTGCTGTAAGCCAGGACTTGCTTTAGGAAGGCACTGTCCTCTGAAAAAAAGTCACAGAGCCACGCATTAGAAAGTTGTTGTCACTTCACAGCCCCTGGGGAGTACCCCTGCACCACATTCAAGATGTGCTTGGAGTAAAGCTGGAAGCACTGCAGTGCTAGAGGAGCTGGGGGGTCCTGCTGTACCTGCACAGACAGGGGGATCCCTGGTCCAGTTCCCCATGGCCTCACAGCGGAGCATCTCTGCTCCCATCCGAACAAACCCCTCCTCGCAGGAAAAGGTGCACGTGGAGTTGTAGGTGAAATTCCCGTGCACATGAGAGCAGCTCAGCTGTCCTCTGCTGGGGGGGGACAGCACTGGGCAGCTGATGGCTGCAGATAAAGCACAGCAGGAGCATCAAGAGACTGATAGCAGTGAGATGGGAACATGTGGGCTGGCAAGCCAGGGGATGAACTGACATAGCCCAGGGTGCTGAGGAGAGCACTCTGCTACAACAGAGCCCTCCCAGACATGTGTGAGATCACAGGATTTTTACCTTTGCAATATGTGGGGTCCCCAGTCCAGGTCCCCAGGGCTGTGCACTCACGGCTCTCTGGCCCCATCAGCACAAACCCCTTCTGGCAGGAGAAGGCACACGTGGAGCCAAAGGTGAAGTCCCCATGGAGATGGAAGCAGGCAGCCTGGCCCATCTTGGGGGCAGTCAGTGCTGAGCATTTGACGGCTGCAAGGGTAAAGAGGCACAGCTCAGAAAGGAGCCTGGGAGACTGTACTGTTGGGACCAAGGGGCTGGGGACACATCATAGAGTAACCCCACATAGTGACACCCTGAGCTGTGGCAGTAGCTCTACCTTCACAGCGTGGGGCATCCCCTGTCCAGATCCCTGTGGCTGTGCACTTGTGACTGTCTGACCCCATCAGCACAAACCCCTTCTGGCAGGAGAAGGCACACGTGGAGCCAAAGGTGAAGTCCCCATGGAGGTGGGAGCAGTTCAGCTCTCCCTGGTCTGGAGCTCTGAGCACTGGACAGGCAATGGCTGCAAGGACAGAGAAACATTTTCAAGCTGAAAAGTGGATACTACAAGGCTAGACTGTTGAAAGACCAGGACCAAGAGGGTCCTCTAGCAAACCTCCCATGCTCACAAAAGGCTTGTGACACCTTGAGCAGCGGCAATACCTTCACAGTGTGGTGTGTCCCCAGTCCAGGTCCCCAAGGCTGTGCACTCAAAGCTCTGCAGCCCCACCAAGGCAAATCCTGTCTGGCAGGAGAAGGCACACATGGATCCATAGGTGAAGTTGCCATGGAGGTGAGAGCAGTGCATCTCTCCCTGGTCAGGTGCACTTAGCACTGGACAGGTGATGGCTGCAGGGCAAAAAAGCACACTTCAGGCAGCAGCTTGGGGACTATGAGGCTGAATTCTTGTGATGAGAGAACTAAAAAGAGAACAAACATTCCAGAGTCTGCCCAAGGCCTGTGACACCTTGAGCAGCAGCTCTACCTTCACAGCGTGGGGCATCCCCTGTCCAGATCCCTGTGGCTGTGCACTCACGGCTCTCCAGCCCCATCAGCACAAACCCCTTCTGGCAGGAGAAGACACACATGGAGCCAAAGGTGAAGTTGCCGTGGAGGTGGGAGCAGTTCATCTCTCCTTTTTCTGGAGCACTGAGCACTGGACAGGCAATGGCTGCAGGGACACAGAAACAATTCAAGGAGGAGGCTGGGAACTACAAGGCTAAACTGTTTGGTGTGAGAGACTGGGAAAACCCTAGAGTCACCCCACAGGCAGTGACACCCTAAGTTCTAGCAGCAGCTCTACCTTCACAGCGTGGGGCATCCCCTGTCCATGTCCCCGTGGCTGTGCACTCACGGCTCTCCGGCCCCATCAGCACAACCCCCTTCTGGCAGGAGAAGGCACATGTGGAGCCAAAGGTGAAGTCCCCATGGAGGGGGGAGCAGTTCAGCTCTCCCTGGTCTGGTGCTCTGAGCACTGGACAGGCAATGGCTGCAGGGGTGGAGAAGCACTTTGAAAAGGAGTCTGAGGACTACAATGCTAAACTGTTGGAATGAAAGGACCAGGACACTGGAGAACATTCCAGGGTGAACCAGATGCCTGTGACATCTTGAGCAGCAGCAATACCTTCACAGTGTGGTGTGTCCCCAGTCCAGGTCCCCAAGGCTGTGCACTCAAAGCTCTGCAGCCCCACCAAGGCAAATCCTGTCTGGCAGGAGAAGGCACACATGGATCCATAGGTGAAGTTGCCATGGAGGTGAGAGCAGTGCATCTCTCCCTGGTCAGGTGCACTTAGCACTGGACAGGTGATGGCTGCAGGGCAAAAAAGCACACTTCAGGCAGCAGCTTGGGGACTATGAGGCTGAATTCTTGTGATGAGAGAACTAAAAAGAGAACAAACATCCAAGGCCTGTGACACCTTGAGCAGCAGCTCTACCTTCACAGCGTGGGGCATCCCCTGTCCAGATCCCTGTGGCTGTGCACTCACGGCTCTCCAGCCCCATCAGCACAAACCCCTTCTGGCAGGAGAAGGCACACGTGGAGCCAAAGGTGAAGTTGCCGTGGAGGTGGGAGCAGTTCATCTCTCCTTTTTCTGGAGCACTGAGCACTGGACAGGCAATAGCTGCAGGGACACAGAAACAATTCAAGGAGGAGGCTGGGAACTACAAGGCTAAACTGTTTGGTGTGAGAGACTGGGGAAACCCTAGAGTCACCCCACAGGCAGTGACACCCTAAGTTCTAGCAGCAGCTCTACCTTCACAGCGTGGGGCATCCCCTGTCCATGTCCCCGTGGCTGTGCACTCACGGCTCTCCGGCCCCATCAGCACAAACCCCTTCTGGCAGGAGAAGGCACACGTGGAGCCAAAGGTGAAGTCCCCATGGAGGTGGGAGCAGTTCAGCTCTCCCTGGTCTGGAGCTCTGAGCACCGGGCAGGTGACGGCTACAATGGGAGAGCAGAGCTCAGAGATGGGATAAATGAGGTTAAATCTAATAATTCAGGCTGAATCCAAATCAAATCTTACCCATACTCATCTCTTCAAAACTGTAGTTGGTGCAATGATTTTTCTGCCCTACAAGTGATTTCCTCATGGAGACACAGTTGCTGCTCTGCCAGAGCCCTGTTTATCCCTTTCACTACCCTGGACCAAAGCCCCTGCGAGGAAGGACCACAACTGCTGCAGTCCCATTCATCTCCCTCCTTTTACTGGAGCAGAGACCAGCCTCTGTCCTTGTCACAGTGGCAGAAGGATGACTTTGGGACTGTAAAGCACTGCAATGGCTAAAGAGGTTGTGTACCAGCCTCCCCTGCCTGTTTCCAGGGTGTGTTTTTCTGCATGCCAGGGTGATACCCAAGGTTTTCTGGGGTGAGTGGCTCTGCTGCCTGCGGAAGCACCAAAGGTCAGTGCCAGCAGGGCACTACCACCACCCAGCCCAGCTGAGACAGACTGCATTCGCTGCATCTTCTGCTTTCAAACTGACACCAAGCACTTTCCTGGGGAGACTTGTCCTTTCATAGCTATTTTACAGGCAATTCTGGTTTTCCAGTCTCCAGAGGTGCCTGTTGGTGAACATGCTGTGCGGGTGGGAACAGCTGACCCAGCCCCTTTGGGGGGCAGCCAGCAATGGGCACACAATGGCTGCAGGCAGGCACGGGGCAGAGTTTGAGGCAGGGCAGGCAGCCTTGCCCTGCACAGTCCTTGCTGCACCACCAGCCTTGCTTGCAGCCTTGCTCTGCTCATTTCTGGAGTAAGCCCAGCTGGCAACGCTTGCTAACACCATTTTGTTATCAGCACAGGACACCAACTGACTCATCTGATTGTTTGCAATAAAACAAAAAAATCAATCATATTACAGCCAGCAGGAAAAAAACAACAAGCTGGGAAAGCAAGCCCCTGGGAACCTGAAAAGTCTGGAGCACACAGGCTCAGCCCAGCTTGTCTGTGGGGATTTTTGCAAAATTGGGAGCCATCTCCTGCCCTTGCCCCTGCTGGGGATACTGGTTACAGAACAGTCACATCACATCTCCATGCTTGTTCCCCTTAACTGCAGACAGTTTTGCTGGTCTCAGCTACCTAAGATCCTGGCTTGGACCACAGGCACAACCTGCACAGGCAGCAGCAGCAGCACCACTAACTTCAAGGCAGGCTTCTTTTAAAAGGAATATATATATATAGATTTCTTCCCACTCCCACTCCTTCCCAGTCCCAGTTGTGTCCCATGTCTGCTCAACTCACCCCATCCTTGTGCAAGGCTGCAGGTGTACCACACAGGTGGAGGAAAGGTGGAGCAAGCCTCTTGCACCCCCAAAAAAGCCTGGCAGTTCTCTGGGATGCCTGGTGCCTAGCTGCAAACCCTCAAGCCACTGACAGGAAGATTTTCTCCTGCAGCATAACACACCACAGCTTTCTCTCCTTTGTGGTTTCCTGCCACACTCTGTCCCACCCAGCTTGTATCTAACCTCATTTCATGACTCCTTATCCCTGTCCAAGGTGGCCCACCCCTGCCAGGATACACCCTTCCCCTGGCTGTGGGACAGCAGCCCCTCTTTTCTCTTTCCCAAGATGCCAAATGCCTTCCCAAGGCAGATCAGGGTGGGCTAGGGGAGAGAGACACTGCCACAGAGTTGACAGAGGAGCCAGAACACCATCCTGACCCCACATTTGATGCACACAGGGTGCTGATATCTGAGTGCAGTTCAGTGCAGTAAGCATGGGCACTGGGACAGCCAGACAGAACAGGGCCTCACAGCTCACAGCTGCTCTGCCCATTGCAGCCTCCTCAGGGAATCCCACCCCACGTGCAGCAGCAGGAGATGCTTCCACAATAGGTAAGGGCACAGCAACACTTGTCTGCACAGGGCTGGTTCCCGTAAAGCATCAATGCTGCACCCCTGAGAGCCCCAGCCCCTGCCAGGCCCTACCTGTGCAGGTGGGGATGTTTGCTGACCATTCCTGGGAAGGCAGGCATCGCAGCACGCCCACCCCTCGCCGCTCAAACCCCTCGTGGCACCCGAACTCACAGGTGGAGTTGTAGCTGAAGTCTCCGTAGGGATGGCTGCAGTTCATGGCCACTCCCTTGGGCTCCAGCTTGGCACACTGCACAACTGGGAAAGATACGGTGCCACAGCCCATCAGGAGCACCAGAACTCTGCTTTGTCACCAGGGTTTGGACTCTGCAGGAGGGAGGGAGGGGTGGGGATGGATGTCTCACCATCCGTGCACTCAGGGCCATGGAAGCCGGGGTAGCACTCGCAGTGGTAGCTCCCAATGGTCTCCACGCACTCGCCATGCTGGCTGCACGGGAAGGGCTGGCAGGAGGCTGCACGCACAGGGGACAGTCATCAGGAGCTGCTGACCACCCTGCCGAGGTCCCCAGCCCACCCAATCCAGCTCTGGTCCGCAGTCCCCCTGCTCACCCCGGTAGCACAGCGCCTTCTTCTTCCGGTTGCAGGGTTCGTCATTCCACTTGCCGGACTGCTGCGGCCGCTGGATGTAGATCTCCACACAGTCCTGGTTGGAGCGGCGGTTGTTGGGCTCCCCCACTGCCCAGTTCTCTGCCTCCTTGGACAGCACCTTCCCCGTGCCCACCCAGGTCCAGATGCCGCCCAGCTTGCGGATGCCAATCCAGTAGTAGCGCCCGTGGTAGGGCAGGCTCTTGTTGAGGTACTCGATCTCCTTCTGGTTCTGGATTGCCACCAGGTCGGTAAAGAAGGTCTGGCAGAAATTCCTGGCCTGCTCCCACGTGTAGTCCCCTTGGTCACTGTAGTGGTAAGTCCAGGCACCCACCTCCACCCACAGCACCATGCCTGTGAAAGAGGATGAGGTCTGGGATTGATGCAGAAAGGATGCGAGCTGGGTCAGGGGTGGGATCCCTTGGGACATGAGAGTGGGCTAAGCCTGACATCACGGCCAAGAGATGCCAGGGATGGGCTGAGTGAAAGGATTGGATGAAGGGATGAGTGTGGATGAGAATGGGACTCCATGGGTACACAAAGGTGTGGGTAGATCAGGCATGGCAGAAGGAGCTGAGGACAGAGGCGATGGCACAGGGATGAGGAAGGTGGAGGTGACAGGTTAAAGGCTGAGATGGGGCAGCACAGGATGGGGCAGGCAGAACACAGGAAGCAGAAGAGCCCCAAGCAGTGATGCCAACCCTCCTCCGGCATAAGGATTGAAAACTCAGCCCCGTGGCCCTGTTCCCCTGCCCACAAAAGCTTCCCAAAGAGGAAAGTCACACTTCAAGATGGTTCCATAAACACAGTTCCTTCCTTGAGTGCAGATGTGCATACTTCAGTTTTCTTGCTTTACCCTGGTACATTAGAGCTAGATTGGAGCAAGGCAGAGCAGCCGATATGCCCTCACCCCCAAAAGCATTTGGACCCCAACCTGCTCATCTGAGACAGAGATAGTCTAGAGTCTTGTAAAACTCAGTGTTGCAAAACAAGGTCTTTCAAAAACAAGTTCATATTATGGTCATACCCAGCAGGCAGGGCAAAGCCAGAAAGTAACTGGCACCCACACCCAGAAGTGAAGGGCACTTCGCTGAAACCCTGTTCTTATTTACAGCATTTCATGCCACAACTTTATGCAATCAAAGGGTTTTAGCCACAGAAAGAAGCTTCCTCCATTCTCCCCAGGAGCAGCTATCTCCACAACTGCAGAAAGTGATGTTGGAATATCTTATCCCCATCTGTGCAGAAAGCAAGATGAGGATCAAAGTCTGCTCCAAACAACCAGCCTAGTTTACACTGTATCTCAGGAGAGCATTTTATCACGCTGCAGTTGTGCAAAGATCCGGGCAAAGATCTGCAGATTAGATGCAAATACACATCTTCTAAAGTCTAATTAGGGCTGTACTTTGGTCCATTGTTATACATTTTTGTAAGTAATTTCCCATCATTTGTCTGGCTTTTCTTGTGAAAGAGGAAACTATTCTCTGAAGCTGAGGAAAGTGTGGTTCACTCTTTACCCTTTGGGAATTTGGGGCTGCAGGACAGGAACTCAGGGCACCTTCTGGGAGCCTGCCCTATCCACAGCTCCCACCAACCTCCTCCTGGCCCCTGCTGCTCCCCAGCATGGCTCAAGGCAGCTGCCTGCTACCTTCACACAGCCCATCCCCAAACTGAGAAGGGCCAAAGTTTGACATCTGCTCCATGTCTGTCCTCCCCATACTCTCCTACCTCTTTCCTCCAGCTCCACCAGTTACACCCTCTCTATGGCACAGCTCATCTTCCCAGTCTTATGCTACCTCTCCCTGCCCCACCTGGTGCTGAGCCCCCAAATGAGTGCTGTTTTCCTGTTTTGACCCCTTGGCTCCCATGGCAGCCCTGATACCTCTTCCCAGGGTGGTGCTCAGCACCCTCCGCAGTTGAGGTGCCTTTGCCTTTTTGTTTTCTCCCACAGCCAAATCTCAGCCTCCTCCTGACACTGCACTTACCTCATTTCTGTTCCTTAGCTCAGTCACTAAGGTTCTTAGGAAAATAATTCAGCTCACAGAGGATTTCTGGGGACAGAGCAGGCACCAGTAGGTTTTGCTCTGTGCAATGCCAGCATGTGAAGGAAATACCCTACAGGCAGCAAAACCAAGTGAGTTTCTATACTCTTGATGTCAATTAGCAGCTCTAATTCTGTGTGGTTCTGCCCCAGCTGTGCTATGAACCGTTACACCCAGGGGTGCTGTGACTCCATCCATGCCCAACTCCCCAGCATGAGCATGGGTGTAGGCAGTGGGTAGAGCTCCCCTGCCTTTCCCCGGTTCACAGTACAGTTCACAGCACCAGCTGCCACGCTGCATTTGCGGAACCAAACATCCTGCAGGGACCTCAGCCATGGCCTGGCCCTTCCTGGGGGAGCACGGTCTGCTTGGAGGGAGCTCTGCACAAGCAGAGGCAGCCCCCGCCCAGCCCAGAGGGATCCAGCCCTGGGGATGGGCTGATGAGCCCCCAAAATAACAGTGCTACATTTCTCCAGTTTCTCAGACCCGCAGACTCCTTGGCAGCAGGGTCACACTAGACTTACTGAGTGGGTGGTGGGTGGCTTACCCCATGTGATGGCAGCGATGCCCAGGTAGGTGCCAGGAGAGCCCAGAGTCCGTGTCCTCCCAGCAGATTGCAGTCCCACAGCAGTGCCCTGACAGAGAGGGAGACATGAGCGTGCACATCCCAAGGGGTCCACACGTGCACCCACACTGCTGCCAGGCAGTCCTGGCTCACACAAGGGCAGAGGCTTGTGGCACTGGCACTCAGGCACACACGGTGCTCCCAGCCAGGTACGGCTCTGCTGCAGGAAGGACCCCTTGCAGTGAGGCACTTGGGGGGAGCACTTCACTCCTGGGGAGCCTTAAGTCCTGTGTCCCCCGAGCCCCTTCCTGCCCAGCCAGGGCTGGCATCTACCTCTGCAGTTGCTGTGCCCTGTGTGCTTGGCAGTGTCCCATGAGCCTGGGGTCGCTCGGGCAGGCTGTCCCCAGGATAGCCCCCAGATGTGGTTCCTGTCAGGGCCTGCCCACAGTCCTGCCCTCCCCTAATTCCCTTGTCTAGGCAGATGCCCAGTCATCCCAAGGAAAGGAGCAGAACTTACCATGTTGGTGCCGCAGCTGCACCGTGCCCAGCCCGTGGCAGCTATCCCTGGGTGGGCAGTGCTGCTCACGCTTCCTCTGAGTGTGCAGCAGATCTCTCTGCCCCTGGCCTCTTCCCCTCCCATCCCAGCCCTGCTACCAGCCCACTTCCTGCCCCACAGCCTCACCTCCCCCGCCACAGGGCTTTCCAGCCCCAAGAAACCCTTCTCTGAGCCCAGGGTTGGAGGCAAACAGTGGGGTCAGCACTGGCCACGGTCCTCATGGACCTAGCTTGGCAGCAGTCCCATGGCATGGGAGTTGGCTGCATCCCCACTGCCACAGGGATATGACAGCCACAGGAGATGACCCACAACGAGCCAGTCTTGCCCGAGCACCCCAGAAGGAGGAGAAGGATCCCCTGAAAAGTGTTCAGCCCCAGTCCACAATGCCTAGAGCACCGAGACCTCTCTGACCCACTGTGTCCATGTGGCAGCACCTACACTGGTGGAGGACAGAGGAGGCTGAGGTGTGCTGAGGTCCCTCGTAGGCTGAGTGGGAAAGTGGCTCACAACCTCCCAGCTCCCAGGCCAGATGCTCTCCTCGCATGCAGGCATTTTGTTCTGGCTGTGAATCTTCATATACCATTTATAAACAGTTACACAATGTATTTTTCTGTCTTTGCCTTTAAGTCTTTATGAGAAAGGTCCAGGAATATGCTAGAGGAACTTCCCCCTGACTTACTAACATCCTTTAGGAACTTCCACCAGTGTTTCAGGAACATGTCTAATTGTGTCCACCGCCCCTTGGATCATTATAATCATTATAAATCTTTTCTTACTCTATCCTGCTCATAAGTAGAATTGCCTTGGCCAGGTTTTCTGCAGAACTTACTCTGCTCACAGCTAAAGCCAAACAAGAGCCATGCAGGTCACATGTATTTTCCAGTTCCAAAGAAATTGATGCTGCTCCACAGGACATTCTAGACAAAAGGAGGAACCCATTCCACAAGAGCCATAACCCACTACAATTACTTTATCATTGGCCAGTATAAATGAACCTTGTTTCCTGTCTCTGGATATCTTCCTTGAAAAATGTTTTAATGCAGTTGTCTCTTTTTATGGAATTGATGAATCTGTACGTCCAGTAATTCAGGAACACTTGCTTCCTAGCAGCTCCTCTGCCAAGAGTAGTCAGTTATGGGAAGGGAAGGAGCAGCCAGGCAGGCAGAGAGGCAAGGGGCAGCTGCTGGTGAGGAGACCAGTGCCAAGTGCTGAGGGTCACCTGGGCAGGGCAGGAGCTGCCTCTCCTACTGATGAGAACTTCTGGGACTCAGAGGGATGTTCATGGGTACACAGTCCCAGGGCAGAGCAGGGTGTGCCCCTGCCAGTTTCACTTCTGCTCGAACCCGACATGGTAGGGCAGAGCGGCAGAAAAAAAATACTCCCACCTTTATTTTTGTAACTACAAATAGTTGTCGGTATTGCTTTAAAAATGGAATCAAGGTGTCTGAGATGCAGAGGCTGTTGCGCTGCAAAGACAGTACGTGACCAAGTTCGAGCTCTGTGTGAAGGCAGGTGCCCCATGCCTGTCCTACATGGCAGGATGGATACTTGGCATGTTGGAGGCTGGCTTTGCAAGTAGTAGAAAAAGATACACATGATAGGAGGGAGAGAAGACCCGAATCAGTTCTGCTGGGAGGTGGTTAATCACAAGGAGCCCTTTCACATCTCAGGTTATTTCCAAGGTTGGCTTCCTGAAAGGGATTCAGGATGCTGCAGGGCATCCTCATGCTGGATTCCTGCTGCTCTTCTCACCAAGGAAGGGCCTGAGCACTGTGGGGATTTCTCAGGTGTCAGGATGGTGCATCCTATCCCCCAGCCATCCCTCTGAGGACACAAGGCAAGCTGCCAGCTTTGCTCAGCATGGGCTCAAGGGAGCAGATACAAAGACACTTTCCTGTGTCACCTCCGCCCTGTCCCTCTGGACCCAGGCACAGGAATGGAGAAGTGCCTCCTTTGCTGTGCCCCAGTGCTGAGCACCAGTCGGGGCGATGCTCTCAGTGCCGTAGCGCCGTGCCGCAGGCTCTGCCCCTGGGGAAAGGGCACGGCCGCGCGTTGTTTAGGGCAGAGGCTCCCGCCCCAGGCTGGCACAACCTGTTCCCCTCCTTGTGCAATGTCTCCACAAACCGCAGAGGAACCGAGTCACCCGGCACTGCCCGGCCGGCTCGGCTGCTGCCCGCGATACGGCGGCACCTTCCTGGGAGCCCCGCTCGCCCCGGGGAGCGCTCAGCAGCCCACTGGAGGTACCCGATCCCGCCCGCAAGGGCTGTGGGCTGCTACCGGCGAGGACACACACGCCTGGGTGCAGCCCCGCTGCTGCCATCCCTCCGTTCCTCCCTGGGGACACGGGCGGCTCTGCCTGACGCTTTAGAGGCATCTCCCGAGCGCGGGCAGGAGATTCCCTTCCGCCACAGGCCCCCAGGAAGTGCTTGACCCAAAGGGTATCTCTGAGCTGCAGGGTGCCCTTGGGCAAGCCTGCCAGAGCACAGCTCCAGCAGCCGGAGCCTCCTCCTCCACACTTTTATCGGCTGCTGCCCCGCCTCAAGCAGCATCTGATAAAATCTTTCTCACAATTTCAAAGCGTTTGGACACGGGGAGACGCATTAAAGGTGCTACCCTGGCTTGGAGGGGCTGAGATGATTGCCAGGATTAGCCACGACCAGAAGTCCAGGGGCAGGTACCGTGTACCCCCCACCCACAGGGACCTTGAGGCACTGGGACAGCCCTGGCTGTGGAATATAGGGATAATTTTGGGCAAATCGCTCCTGCCCACCCTATCCAGACCCTCTCAGAGATGTTTCTTTGACCTCAGCTGTAGGACAGTTCTCTGCCTCCTGCCTTTCACTGCGAAGCTGGTGCTGGAGAGCCTTTTCACTGGGCATCACTGCCACACAGGTACCCCTGCCGGTGCTGCCTGCCAGCTCCCTGGCACCTGGCAGCAGCCACATGTGCACGGCACAGATAAGGGTTTGCCAAACAGGATGCCTGGGGCATAGATAACACCAACATTATCTCACTGCTTGAGTGATAGGGAGTAAACAAGTGACTCTGCCCACCCGGGGAATCCCAGGCAGCACCTCTGCCCTGCCAGCGAGCTGGGGCACAGGGTGGGTACGGACTGCTGGGGTGCAGCTGCAGGGATGTGCCACATCCAGGGGCAGCCCTGAGTGACAGCCAAACCACCCTGCCTACAGCTCCTAGGAACTGTGATTGCTCTGCTTCTGCCCTGCCTGGCTCTCCATGGCACTGTGCATCCCTGGAATGCTGAGACAAGCCACCGACTCACCTGGCCCTACCCCAGTAGAACCCATCCTCCTAGCAGGACAGTGGTACCAGCCACACTGGCTTGGTGTGGGGGCAGCTCAGGCACAGGAGACGCTGGTAACCAATGAACCAGGCCACCCTCACCCTGGACACCACCAGTGCTTTTGTAGTATGTCTGGTTTAATGCAGAGATTTCAACCTTCTCCCGTCTCACATAGCAAACCCAGAGCCAGATTCCTCTGCCTGTCACCTCTGTCACCCGCTGTGTGCTATTGCCTGCTCCCCTCCCCGGGCAGCAGATGAACAGGCTCAGCACCAAGAGCTGTGTCTCTAGTCAGGGCTAGCCCCTGCACAGCAAAAGACATCCTCTCCTGTGGCCAGGAAATCCTGTGGCATCTCCTCCAGCTGTGCCCAGCTGTGTTTCACCTGAGACAGAAGCAACTTTGAGGGCATTCTTCACTTCTGGCAGGCCAGGGCTGAGCTTTCCTCTTCTAAAAGTTCCTCTCTCTTTCTCACCTCCCTGCTTCAGCACACAGCCTGTCTGGCTCAGCTGCTGCCAGTGTTGCAGCAAGCACTCTCCTGGGTGATGATTTCTCCCCTGGGATCTTGGTTACCTTTCTGCTCCAAGGAGTTATTGTGTTGTCTATTTGGATTAGTGATTTATTAACTGCAGATAGGGCAGGCACTGGCACAACATGTTTTAAAGTCTTTTTTATGCCTCAACCACCTTGCTTTTGTAGACCTACAAAGTGCCCTGTCTGTACTGCCCCAGCTGTTGCAAACTGCTGGGCTCTGCCCAGTGCAGCATCCCTTGGTGCGTGACCCCAGGGACAGGGTAGCTCCATCTGAATCACTGCCTCTGTGGCCATCCAGTGCTCCATGCACAGGGTGGGTGGCCCTTGCTGAAGCTGGCTCTGCCTAAGAATCCTGATTTCTGGGGAAAGCCCCTGCAAGAAAGAAACAAAAGCTAAAATAATGAGGGGAAGGATGTTCCTAGCCACTTGTTGTTACCTTTGAAATTAATTCTTACTCCTGTGACCTCTTGCAGCTCTGCTTTAAGAGCAAGATGGTCACAGACAACAATTTAACAGTACTTCATCCATGAGCAGAGGGGTACAAGCTCCTTCACATCTAAGCAGCAAAGGCAAAAGGTCTTTTCTCCACTTTTCTGACAGGAAATGGCAAGGCAACATTGGCTGTGCTTTCCTAGCTTCTTTTTATTTTTATTTACCCTTAAGGAAAAGGACTATTTTGCAGAGAGGCATCTTGGGAGGACTCACTGGCCCGACGAGAGGTGAGGCAGAACCTTCTACTCCCACCAACTCCTGCTGCCCTGTGGGACTCAGGTGGCCCAGCCCCGTACCGGCACCGTACCTGGCTTCCCAGGGCAGGGCGCAGCTCCCCGGGCTGCCCGGCTCTGGCCGCAGCCGGCCCTCCTCTGCTGCCTCCGCGGCTGTCACACCATCGTCACACGAAGGCTTCCCGGTACTCTGCAAGACCTAGAAACCCGCTTTTGCCCTCCAGGCGCTGAGGCCCTTCGGCAGAGGCGCGGGGCCGGGAGCAGTGTCCTCCCAGAGGGACGGCGGCGCGGGCAGCGCACGGAGCTGTGCCGGCTGCGGCGTCTGTCCTGTCTGCCGCGGCGGAGCCGGGACGGTACCGTGGGGGTGCCGGGGCCCGCTGTGCCGTGTCCATTGGCCCGCGGGCCGTTGCTCTCCACGATGAGCCGGAGAAGGCCTGCGCCAGGGAAGTCCATAATGACCACCCCCCAGCGCACGGGCTGCCCGCCCCGGCGCCGCAGATGCTGGCAGCAGCGGGGATTCACAAAGCGGGCCACCTCCTCTGGGCAGGTGAAGAGCCCATTGCCGGAGCAGAAGGTGAGGTACATGGTGCTGGGGTCTCCGCCGGCCGCCTTCTCCAGGTGCCGCCGCGCCCGGGCCCACTTGCGCTCCAGTGAGAGCACGTTCCAAGCGTCGCTGATGCTCAGCTTCTCGTAGGGGATGCCCAGCACCTGCCGCGCCAGCGCCTCCAGCACCACTATCTTCCCGCGCACCTGGCCCAGCGTTGGCACCTCCTCCCGGCACCACACGCAGCCCTGTCCCTCTTCCAGCAGGCAGCGGTGCAGCTGGGCAGCGAAGCCGGGCCGGGAGAAGATGGGCAGCTCCTCCTTGATGCGCATAAGCACGGCCTCGCCGGGGTGGGCGCGGAGGAAGTGCAGGGTGCGGCGCAGGACGCCGCGCAGGCTGGCCCGCTGGAAGGTGCAGAGGTGGTAGATGCGGAGCTCTCCCCGCGACAGCTTGCAGCGCACATCCAGGAAGCGGATGCCGGCCGCCAGCTGGGCCTCCAGGCCCCAGCTCTGGCACCGCAGGCGCCGGCCACCGAACAGGCTGAGGGAGTCGTGGGTGCCAGGGATGGAGAGGTGGGAAAGGGGCAGGGCGTCGGGGAGCTCCGCCATCCAGTCAGGGCAGCAGGCTGCTGGCTGGGGCACGCAGTCGAAGGCAGCGCTGCGCCGGGACCATGTCTCCATGCCACCAGGAGAGCGGGCACCCTGGTACCTGGCTGGCCCCCCAGAGCCCTGCTGTGGAGGAGAAGCAGACCATGAGTGGTGGGAGCATGACCCCAGGCGTCCTGATCCCACCCTCCCCAGTGGTATCCCCACTGTACCATGAAACCCTGGAACACACCATACCCTATAACATACCACATGCGCCCCATATACTTTGCTGCCTGTACTTCTGTTGAACTGTACTGTTCCCCTGCTACTCTCAAGCCCCCGTCTCAGTCCCCCCGAGCCCTGGTATGCTCCAGCCTCCCCCTCATTCACCCACCTGGGTCTACCTGTGGCTGTGGAGCAGAGCCCAATGAGCAGGGCACAGCCGTGGGTGCCGGCGGCACACTGGCAGGTGGAGCGGGATGCCAGCCATTAACCCGGTGACTGTCATGACGCGCATCCTGCCTCGCAAATGGCACGTGCATCTGGGATTCATCCTCAGCCCTCGGCCAAGGAGCGCACTTGACAGACACACCAGGCTGGAAAACCCCCTGGCTGATCCCGACAGCAGCCATTCTGCACCTCCCTCCCCAGGAATCAGGACAAACGGGATCATGGTGCCGCGGGGCCCCTTGATGCTGCCCACGGGAGTGGCTGTGCAGAGCCGAGGGGTGCCTGCATGCCTGCTCCAGAGCTATGTCCCGGTGGGACCTGGACCGCCCCGGTGAGGATTGGCGTCGTCCCTGTCAGATGGACAACGCAGTGTCCTGAGCGGGGGTCTGTGCCTGCCAGCACATCCCAGGACCTGCTCAGCGTGAGTTCCTAAGGAAGTGGGCTTCATCTCCTTGCTCTTCGGGCACCAGGGACTGCTTCACACTGGAGTCACTGCAAGGCTGCCCGGCGGGGAGTGACCCACGTCCTGCCCAGGGGACAAAGCTGCCGAGCACTGAACCCAGCGGGGTTTGGAGAGGAGCCGCCGGAGAGGTCACAGACCCCTCCGAGCATCCCTCCAGCTCACATCCCCTCCGCCTGAGCGGGGCCGGCACAGGGATCCTCGGGGGGCGTTCGGCTCTGCCACTGCAGGAACAGCCGGCGGGGACCGGCCAAGGGGCGCCTTCCCTGCGCGCTGGGCGCAGCGGCCGGGCTGAGCGGGGGTCCCCCGGGCTGCCCCCGCCCAACAGTCCCGCCCTGGCGCCGGCAACAGCCCCGGCTCACGTCCGCCCGCGGCTCCCGGGGCACGGAGCGCCCCGCCCGCGGAGCCGCAGCGCGGCGGCGCAGCCGCTCCCGCCCCGGCCCGGCCCCGTCCGCTGCTCTCGGCATGGCTGCGGCGGGCGGCGGCGGCAGGAGCTGCTTCGTGCTGGGCGCCTCCGGGGAGACGGGCCGGGTGCTGCTGCGGGAGCTGCTGGCCCAGCGGGCCTTCGCCCGGGTCACGCTGATCGGGCGGCGCCGGCTGAGCCTGGGCGAGGCGGCGGGGGCCGTGGTGCGCGGGCCGGGGACAGGGCTGGCCGTGGTGGCGGGGACCGCGCCGGCGGCTCTGACCCTCGGCCTCCCCGCAGGAGCAGGCGGTGGTGGACTTCGAGCGGCTGGGCGAGCACGCCGCCGCCTTCCAGGGACACGACGTGGGCTTCTGCTGCCTGGGCACTACCAGGGCCAAGGCTGGCGCAGTGAGTGGAGACACCCTGACCCCCGGCGAGCAGGGGTCCCGCTTGTCCCCTCCCCTGCCCGCTTCCTGCCCCGCCGACCCTCCTCTCCCCCCGCAGGATGGCTTTGTCCGTGTGGATCGGGACTACGTGGCGCAGGCAGCAGAGCTGGCGCGGGCAGGGGGCTGCAAACACTTTGTCCTGCAGTCCTCCCGGGGGGCAAACGCACAGAGCCGCTTCCTCTACCTCCGCGTGAAGGTGAGGGGGCTGCTGGGTGGGCTCCTGATGCTCGTGCAGGAGTCATGGGATACCGGGATGCTCGGGAAGCAAGCAGGAGCTGAGGTTTAGAGATGCAAATGGCTCGGGGAGTCCTGCTGCTGCAGGACAAGGGAAGGGCCTGGCTGGACAGCTACGCAACTGTCTTCTTATAAAGCAGCACAACCCCTGCATGCAACGTCTGCCTCCCTCCAAAAACTCTAGAAACATCTGCTGGGGTTGTCCAGCCCAACAACAGTTCCCCAGCCTTAAGCTGGGATGGCTTCACAGCTATGTGGGGAGGCTCAGGGCTGTGTCCAGGTGAGAAATGAACTATCCCGCGATGGAGAGCCTGCAGGCTCCCCAGGGAGGACCACGCCCGTCGCAAAAGCTTTTTTCTCCCTATGTTGTGTGCTGCCACTCCCAAAGCCTGCTGGACTCAGAGCTGCCTGCCAGTGTCTTGTGCCGCCTGGATCCATCCCCAGGCTGGATGCTGAGTCCAGATGCTCTCTGGAGCAGCCTGTTGCAGTTTAGTGTGATGGTTGCAAGGACGCACTGCTGACCTGTGATCTGTGTCCACCACGGGCCCTTGCCCCGGCTGCCTGGCCTGGAGAGCTGATCCCTGCCTGGTTTGTTCCAGCCTCACGCTGGCATTAGTGCTATCCTGCCCTTGGCTCAGCAGCCCTTTCCTGCCTGTTCATGGGGTGGCAGGGATGGTGCTTGCAGTCATCCTTGTCTCCTTTCATCCTGCCTGGCTGCTCTGACAGGGAGAAGTGGAAAACCTGGTCCAGGCTGTTGGCTTTGATCACTGTACCATTCTCCGGCCAGCGTGAGTAGTGGTGGAGGAGGGAGGGCGCAGGGTGGAGGGTTGCCAGGGCAGCAGGGAACTGCTTCACTGGGAGATGGAGGAAGAGAAAGGACATATGAGGGCAGGGCTCGGGATGGAAGTGAAGAATGCCAGCAGCTGCAAATGCAGTTCATGGATGAGCAGACTGCTTCCCAGTGCTGCAGGGAGCAAGCCCTGCAGTTTCCTATGGCCCATCCCAATGCTAGTGCCATGTGCCATGCAAGGACAGGAGCCTTGGGCTTAAAAACACAAGTTGAGGCACATAGGTCAGAGCTTAGCTCCAGATGGACCTTGACCTTATGCAGAGGGAGCACACACCTATGTCCTTTCAAGTGTACTGTGCTCTTGCCACCTAGGAGAACTGGAATTCTACTTTTGTCAGCACAGTGGGGAAAGGAGTTTAGTGTCCAAGGGCTCAGCTCTGTCATGTTCCATGACCCTGCCAAAGCCCATGTCAGTTCAGGGATCTTGTCTGGGCCCTGGTGCAGCTGGAGAACTCAGTCTCTAGCTTTCACCCTGCATTGTTTCGTGCTGACCCACCTCACCTCCTTGCTCTGCAGGGTGCTGCTGTGCAAGCGCCAGGAGTCCCGACCCATGGAGTGGATAGCCCAGCAGTTCTTGGGTGCTGTGGCTCGGCTGTTCCCCACTGCTTACTCAGTGCCTGTGGAAATGGTAGCCAGGGCTATGGTGGCCTGCGCTCTGCAGCCAGGAGAGGGGAAGGTAAAGGTGCTGGAGAACAGGGCCATCCATGAGCTGGGAAATGCAACGCCACAGCAGGACACATAGAGCTGAAGGGATGGCAGGCAGGAGCTTGGTTCATGCTTCAGGTGCTCTCTGGGCTGAGGATGAACGCATGCATGGGAGAGGTGTGGGGTGCTTGCATGGCTAATGTGGAGCCAGAGGTACATCCACTTCTTTGCACTTTGGCTCATTCTGTCAAGGGATCAAACATGCAGGTGCTGGCTGTTGGGTGAGGAGAAACAATGTGCTCTGCTGCCTGGATCCATAAAATGAATACGGGTAAAGATGATGTAATCCAGGCCTTGAATAAAACCCTGTGACTGATCTGGTTGTGCCGGCTTTGTGTTGAAATAATGTCTGCCACCCACACACCAATAACCCAGCCTCAGCCTCATGTGCTCAGATCATGTCACGTCAGGGAATGCTCACAGGCAGGTGACAGGCACAGGAAAGCAGAGACAAGGCACAGCTGCCTGTGTGGAGGCTGCACTTGACAGAGCACACGGTGGCACCAGTGCTGCTTGGATAGCAGAGCTCCTGGATGCTCAGCAGCAGCTGCTGAGGTGCCAGGAGTGGTGGCTCTGCCTGCAGCAGGCCTGTGCAGACACTCCTGGCCTCATCTGCTCAGGGTGCAGAGCTCTAGGGACACTGCTATCCACACCTGGCCTGCCACTTGGTACCTGTAGTCACAAAAACACTATGCAAATATTTGCAAATGCCCATCTCTCTGGATTTTCCTTGCAAGCACAAATGAGCCCGAGTCCAGCCCCGTTTTCCCAGGAAAGCTCTGGATGTGCAAAAGTTCAGGTCAGCCCTGTGCACATCTTACAGGGGGCTTGTTCCTGCCCAGGTGCCAGAATGGGAGCAGGTTCCTTCTGTGGGCGTGGAGGAGGCACGAGGAGCAGGCACGAGGAGCAGGGCAGTGTCCCAGGCGCGGCCCCGGCTGTTCTCAGGCCTCCTGCTCAGGGTCGAGGAACTCGGTGGCTCCCCACATGGGATGCAGAACATACGTGACTCCCAAGTTCCCTGCTGGCCCGAGTCCCAGTGCTCGGGGTAACACTGCTTTCCAGGATTCTCCCTGACCTCCCCCACGGCTCCTGTGTCAGTGACTTGGATGTGGCAAATGGAAGGAGCCTAGATCTCATCTCCTCCTTCTACACAAGCATTTCCATCGTTGCCTTGGGCCTCAGAAAGTTGGTGGAGGCAGTGAGATGGTGTAGGCCTGCACCTAGACAATTCCTCAGGCATGTGAGGGGCTCAGTTCAAAGGGGCCACAGAGCCACAGCTACTGATAAGACTGTCCCAGTGTGAGCAAAACAACACCTTTGGAATAGTATTTAATGCACAAAGGGAAATGAGAGGTAGCTGGTCAGCATCATGCAAATATGAGGAGCACAAAGGCTGGTCACCTGCAACACTGGGTTACACAGGCATGGTGCACTCAACGCTCAAAGAGATTTTTTTTTAAAGGGCTTGTGTGCTTATACAAGGGAGTGGAAATGAACACCTGAAGTGATAACACCTTAAAATAAGTGAAAATTGAGATGAGAGAATAAAAAAAAAAAATAATTCAAGCTCTGGAAAGTTACAGGTGAAAAGCAAGCCACAGAAGATGTGAGAAAGCATCCTAAAGGCATAAACCTGAATTATGACTATGTGAGAAGCAGAAAGTTCTCCAGGGAGGCTCAAGGACAGGATGTGATCAGGCTCTATAGGAAGGAATGAGCCATCACAGAAAGCCTCACTGTGTTACTTGCATTGCCCTTTGCTGTTAGAGAGCTCACATTACCATCATTCCTTAGGGGACACACATGTGCATGACTGTCCCAAAGCATTCAGGAGAAAAAAAAAAAAAATTTAACACCATTTTTAGAACACATGGTTAAAAGTCTGCCAGAAGGAGCACTCAGATGAATGGCCAAATACTCTCCTGGGTGAGAATTGCAGCGATCCCTTTACCAAAAGGTCAACATTGTTAAATATGATGCTAGTTCTTAAAAAGTTCCAGTGGGAACCAGGAAACAGCAAAGCAGCTAGGCTACCTTCTATAAAAGGCACGTTGCTAGAAAGGATAATAAAGTCTGGAAATAACAGGGCCAAGGATAAATTTGGTGTAATGGGAGATTCCAAGTGGCTTTTGAGGGGGCAGTTGCAAGACACAAGTCTGGAGCCCTTTTGGAGGAAACCAGCCATTGTGTACACAAGACAATCTGCTCCTCAGAGTGCACTCAGATCTCCAAAAAGCTCTCCCAGAAGGGCTCTTAAAGAAATTAAGCTGTCGTGAGAAGATGAGGAAGGTCTGTGTAGTTTCTTATTGGAAATATTTTCTTAGCACTCCAAAGCCTTGAAACACACAAAACAAACATTTCTTGCTGGACAAAGGTCTGTGGAAAACACAAGCCATTTCTGTGTAACCCTTGTTTCTGCTCAATGGTAACAGTTTCTTTTTCAGTGTTTCAGATAAATCTGTGTTAAAATGCACAGCTGAAATCCCAGCACACAGTATAGTTTCCTTATCACCCTTCCACATGGAGTGTCCTCACACACTTTGGACCTCAGTTGCCCATTTTGCTCTGTGCACTCCTTAAACCCCCAGCCCAGAGCTTTGGAAGAGATTTTAGACCATTGGTCACTGAATTACAGCAGAGAGGATTTGCCCACCTAGGGCTGAAGGAGGTAAAGGAGACTGAAGTCTGTAGGGAAGAGACCCAGTCCCTCCAGGGGGGTCTCACTGTGGAAAGCTCCATGTTCCTCTGAGCAGCAGGAGGTCTGCAGAGATGGAGCAGAGATGGAGCCGAGATGGAGTCCTTGGCACGCCGGGCTAGGCTCTCGGTGTTCCAAGGGCGCGCAGCCTTGGCTGCAGCCGCGGGGAGAGCGGAGCAGGGAAGGGACTCAGAGGCTGCAGGAGGACAGCAGGCTGCAGCCAGAGGGCAGCATTAACAAACCACCTGGTCCCCAGAGCCGCGTTCTCCTGGGATTCCCACGGTGGCTTTATTACAGCAGATTCATGATGAAAGGGTCGCTGCGTTCCCAAGGGCTCAGCAGTGGGCGTTTCCCAGGAGGTGCCACAGTCCCGCTGTCCCTCCCAGCCCTGAACTGTGAGAACCGCCGGTCCCTTTTGCCCGACCCATGCTGCCACTGCCTTCCCTCCGAGCCAGGGGCTGCCTGAACACCGGCAAAGCCTCCTGCAAACAGCACCACGCTTCAAAGGAGCTCTTCAAAGCAGCCTCTGAGCGGGCACTCAGTGACATCCTGGTGACATCCCTGCTGGCAAATGCGTGGCTCTGATGAACTCTCTGGCCCCAAGGGCACTGGCACAGCCCAGCAAAGGTGCAGCTTGCAAGGCTATGTTCCTCCAGGGAGCAGGGGCTGCACCCCAGCTGCTGGGAGATGGGGCCACTGAGCCTTGTGCTACTCCTGATTGGGGTGAGGCACCTCCAAGCCCCTCCTGAGTCCTCTGGGAGCAGGGCAGAATGAGAACAGCCTGGAAGAGTAAAGGACCTCTCCTCTGTTGGTGCTGCTCTTCCCTTCCCCACTCTGTGAGACACAAGGGAGGCTGGTGGGTACCTCCATGCCAGCAGAGGAAAGGGCAGCCCACCACACCCTGGCTCTGACGCCTTGCCTGAGTACATCTTGGGGATTCCAATCAGCCCAAACCACTCTTATCTGAGCATCTCATCCTCTGAAATTGTCAGCTGTACTTTTTTTCATTCAATTTCCACTACAAACCAGTACAGAGCCAGCCCAAGTTCTCCAGGGAGGCAGTTTCCAGCAGACTTCCAGCTTTCACTTACTGTACTCAGACGCCTGAACATAGGCAGTGAGTGTGTTGCTGCATAATCCCGCAACAGGCCCAAAATCCAGCCAGAAGCCAGAGGCAGGCAGGCACATCTCTGACACAACATAAGGGAAAGGGGACCAAGAGCTGAGTTTAAATGCAGCCCTGGGTTTTAACCAGGGAAATGATGGTTGTTAGTGCACCTGGGTGTGGACAGCCAGGTTGGGAGCAAAGTCCCTATTTCCAGCTCCCAGTGTTAAACAAAGCACAGAGAGGCACATTTTCATGGTCACCCAGGAGCCAAGGTTTGAAACAATAGTCACTGACAGCCACCACCACTGTTGAACCGGTGAATATTCTGACATTAGCCTCAGCCTTGAAATCAACAGCAAGACTTCTCATAAGCACTTTTATTTTTCTGAAAGTTCAATTTTTCACTGGAAAAATCTCACTTGAATGAAACATTTCTACCTGGCTCTTCTAAATACTGACCTAGAGCCTGACGCATCATTAAAAGAAATGCTGTGGGCTTCTTGAAGCCCCCTAAACATCAGCATGGCCCTTCCAATTGGATTACCTGATCTCACCCCAGCAAATCCACATTTTTCTTCCCCCTGTGTGAGCTTAGAGAGAAGAAAACAAAACCCAGAAGCCGCCGGGGCTGGGGCCAGCTGCAGCAGGCCGGCCGGCATTGGATACAGGGCTGGCGGGGGTCCAGCTCCGGCGCTATATAGGAACGAGGGAGGCAGCTGGGCTGCAGACAGAGCCTCTGCTGCCCGCTTTGGCCATCACTCACACTCTTCTCACGGCCGAGGGAACTACAGCCTGCCAAGATGTGCAAAGGACTAGCAGCGCTGCCCCACACGTGCTTGGAGAGGTGAGACCGGCCGGGATGTGTGGGATGCCAGGGGCTGGCGCCCCACAGGGCTCTGCTGGAGCGGCTGGGGGCACAGCGGCTCTTCCTGCGGCACATCCCCAGGATGGGCATCTCTCATGGGGACTGGCATTATCCAGCTCTGAACGGGGAGGGAAGGGAAGGGAAGCTTGCTGGGGGTGGTCCAGTGGGTGCTGCAAGTGGCTGAGATCCTTGGCGGGACGAGTGCTGATTCGGTCTGAACTCCCCACTCTGCCCTGGGGCTCATTCTGCTGGGTGATTTTGGGCTGCGCCAAACCCAGCCCTCCACCGTTCTGGGCAGGAGTGCTTCATCCTCAGATCTTAATTTCTGCAAAACACGGGGAGGAGAGGAGGAAAAAATCAGGACAGAGGTTTTGCCTTTCTGAGGTGGAAACAGCCCTGTCTCCGAAGTGCCTCACGATCTTCTTTTAATTGCCTGCGTGTCGCTCACACATGGAATAGCCAGACCTGACCCCTCTCACAAGGCTCACCCCTGCACAGAGCACCAGCTCTGTCCCCCTTGTGGCACCCATCCTCATCCTCATCCTCATCCCCATCCACCCTGGTTCTCCCAAAACCTGCCCCTGATGGTGGCAGAGGCTCCTCTCAACCCCTTGGGAGCTCAGGCAGTCTCCAGCCCCTGGCCATTTC